CGCCGTCACCCAGTGCAGACCCGCCAAGGAATTTCCAGTTTATAGAAAATCAAAAATTCTACTTTCTTGAAAATTATTTATGGAAATTCAACGGCGATTTTCTAACAAAGTAGACCTGCTAGATTGTTGAAAATTTTGCCAACCCATCTTTCCAACCCAAATTCCTTTCCGTTGCTGAAAAAATTTATTGTTTCTAAATCAGAGACGAAAAAGCCACAGTTCTGCTTGTAAAGTCCACACATGATACATTTCTTTTGTCTTAAAGAGCAGCTAATGCATATCTTGAAGATAGCTGAAATAAAGAACTAGCGATTCTTCGATAAATTGTGCTGCGTGGAGGGGTGGAGCATTCCAATGGATTAAAACCTATCGCCCAATGAGTTATGATCTAACTCTGTAGTTTGATGAATGTGAATCTTCGTTTACTTAAGCCGCACTTTCATAAACTGCTTCGCTTCTAACTTCGAAGCATCGACGCACTAAAATACTGTATCTATAACGTCAATTGCACGGTATTAACAAAACGATACGGTGTTTCAGTGCGTCGACGCTTCAGAGTTAGAAGCGAAGTAGTTTGCATCAACAATTTTAAGTGGTAGTAGAATAAAGCAAATTGATGCATAAGAGGCAGTGCAGTGGAAAAAAGCGATTTTTCAGCCGAAAATTTTTCTTACGCAATAATTCCATCAAATCAAATGCTATTGAGCTTAAACTTTTACCAGAGCTGTCTTGGTATGAATACTATCCATGAAACAAATTTGAACTTGTTTGAGTTAAGCGTCCTACAGAAATAGTTTATTCTTTAGATATAGACAAAACGCCATCGCCCGTCTTGCAAATTGGTTTTTGCTAAGTTTCACATTGGTTCAAGATTTTGTTTGGAATGCAGAGGCGACACAGTGAAGGATTGTGGCCGATTTTTGACTATTTTTCCTCTGTTTCTTAATATTTTTGCTCAAAATACACTCACACTGCATTTTTATTCACATATTTGGATAGAGCAACTATTTTCACCAATAACTGTTTAGTTTCAAGGTTTTGGAAGGGCTCTTTCTTGGTGAAAACCTGCAAACTATCAATTAGACTGACCTTGATCAACCTTCAGTTTTTGGCATTCGACTCCACGAAATATTTACTTTTTCTAACTTTAGATCCCATATTCGTGATCAGCATAAAATTCTGAGTCAGAAAAGGTGTGTTTCGAAAATTTTAGAGGAAAAAATGTTTTCGATGTTCCAAGATGGGACCTTTGCCCTTAAATTTTTCGATAAAAGTCAAAATGCGAGTTTTGGAAAAGTGAGACGGCTAAAATACTCAGAAATTTACGCTGACGCGCTTGGAAAATATTAGATAACTTTTCCTAATAAAAACAAATCTATACATACAGCAAAATCGTAGATTCTATCAGGAAGTTTTTCTGAATAGAGTAAAACTTATCGATGAGGTGGTACCTCTTGAAATAATTTTTCATACGATGCAGGAAAATGTTGTGCGAATAATTCATCAGTCTAAATAAGAAAACGATCGTTTTTTTCATTTTGAAAGAAAGTTTTTTCTCACTCCATCAGAAATGACCTGCGGTATAACTATTCCACGACCATGACCCCGACTGTTAGGGAGGGGACAGTGAGGGCAGAGTTCAGTTTCACACAAAAGGCAATTTTTACTCAAACAAGCAAATTTATACAAGTTGTACTAGTTTGCTTGAGCTTTTCAAATATTTATCTAGTATATAAGTTGTTCAAGATGAAGCTAGGTTAAAATTGTTCTAATACGTAGGTCTCGTGATACCAGTTGTTTTGTTAGTTTTCTAAAGTTTTGCTTTCTTAACAACTATTCCGAAAAATTTGCAGAATAGTGGGTGAATCTAAATGACCATATTACAAAACTTGAAGAAATTTTGATTCCCTAAATCGTGTAAATGACCAGATGTTAGAATAACTACATGTATAAAACAAAAGGAAGAAACAGTACAATTATTGAACTTCTTTCTGAATTGTGCTAGCCGAACAAACTGTATCTTTTCAAAATCAATAGTTTATTTTCTCTATGGGGAGGTACGGTTCTATTCATACCATTGGTTGTTATCACTATTTTATTCCAAGATGTTTTGATAATTGTTTGCATGACTGACCAACGTGTAATGCTCGTTCATGTGTTGTAACGATTATAAGCGCACAAAAGAATAAAAAATCCACCGTAAAGATCAAATCTTATATAATTATCTTTCAAGAATTGTGTAAGAACCTCACGAAAGAAGGCTTTTTCTGAGTTGCCCCAAAATGGAAAGAAATCTAAAGTTCAACGCTGTCAGAAGAAAATGAGATAGGTTTCTTCAAGATAGCGCCTGTAAGACATGTCCTCTAGCACAACCAGTCAAAAATGAAACCGATTGAGTGCCTCATTTGTAAGCAAGTGAATAACGCAAAAAATGGTTACAAAAGCGAAATTTTGTAAAATTTTGCATACTTTTGTTTTAATACAAAATTTTGTAAATATCAATGTAAGAGTAACAGCAACTGTTTTGAATCATATAGTGACATGATTTATAATTAAATAAAATTAAAATGAATTTCAAGACGGTTGCTGTTACTCTTACATTTATATTGAAATTATTAAGCCTCAAGAAGTTATATACTTCTAACTTTGTAAATGTTTTGTTTTCGAAGAGTATGCAAAATTTTACAAAATTTCGCTTTTGTAACCATTTTTTGCGTTGCGCCACTTACGTTTTTGCATTTTTTTCGCGTGACTAAGCAAAAAAGCTTTTGCAAATTTCTACATGTGCGGGGATTTCAACAACTATACGTGTTCTTTTATTTTTTTTTGTATTTCTGTAACCATTTTTGCGTTAAGCCGCTCATGTACTTGCAGTTTTTTTGGGTTATTCACTTGATTAACGAAAAAAAGTTTTGGTTTTGGCAACATGAGTGTAGATCACATTCCATGTTCCAATTATTTGTTGACTAATACCTAATTCTAAACGTGGTTCTTATATTATCCATGAGGGCATTTTCGATGAATTTATCGCGATAAATCATAGCAAATTATAATAGGATATATTTATCGACAGGTATCGCGATAAAATAGATTTCTGCGATACAAGGGTTCTTTATCGCGATGAATTTTTTCTTTCGATAAAGAGTAGAAAACGGTGACGGGTGGATAAAAATATCATTTATCGCGATAAATTTATTGAAAATGCCCCCATGGGAGAGAAATCTAAGAATCGTTCGATTACTAGATGTCCTGTCGTTACTAAATAATTGCAGTCAAGTAGATGAATCGGACCGCTTGGGTTATTCTTTGAACTGAAATAACAAAGTGCAGCAGCAGAACGAAAGAAAAAATACAAAACAGAAAAAAGGTATGTCTCAACTTGAAATGGAACTGGGGCAGTGTGAATACAAGCCAAATGCACTATCATTGAGCTATTAAGACACTATCTTTGATACATTTTTTCTATGTATGACTTTTTATTTCCTTTCGTACTAATATTAATTATATTTAATTGTTACTATTGATTAGTTCTTGGACACAAGTTGACTAAACCAATATGTAGTCAAATTTTCAATTATCGTCAAACTGTAATGAATTTTGATCTCAATAATTTTCAACAAATGGAGTGTGACTGTCATCTTTCATTGTTCAGTGACTCTCATCACCAACATATTATTATCAGCGACCTAAGAAAATAAAAAGCCTATATAAAAAAAAAGTGTCAAAGACAGTGTCTCAATAGCTTACCAGAGCATTGCACTTGTATCACACTGACCCGGTTCCATTTCCAGTTGAGACATATGTTTTCTGTTCTGTGTTTTTTCTTTCTGCTTTTTGTCTTCAGCAGATGATTCAGATGTAAAATTGCATCGACACTCAACAAAGGTTAGATAAGAGATTTTACTTGCTTCTCCGTCACAAAAAGACGTTATTAAAAGTGTCAGTATAACAGTGCCTTTCACAGTCAACGTTAAAAACTTCGAGTGATGAGCGGCGATAAGAAAAACCAACAATATTCACCTCACGTGTGAGTAGTCTCAAGTTCCACAGTGTGGGAAAAATTCAAGTGTTCAGAAGAATTCAAAGTAACGCTACTCATTCTCATACCCCCGCTCCCTCCCCACCACTATTACATTTTCTCTACGAAGTGGCAGACTCTGGTCCAATTCTGCTCTGATTCTCTGGTAGAACTGGAATTATAACTCTGCCAGATTCTGAACAGAATCTCAGTAAAAATATATATTTAAATGTGTCAAACTCTGCTAGTTCCAAGAATTTCCGTGGAATTGTAGCTAACTGGACACTGCTACTCACATGTAAGTGACAGGTTTTTTTTTATATAAACTTTATTAAAAATAATAATACAAGTAAGAACATAGTCGAGCTATTACTCATTATAACATTCTTACTTGTCGACAAAGTGTTGAATGATGAATTAAATTCTTCGAGAATGAAAACAAAAGTGACAGTTTCAATCTACTACTATAGGCTCTTGAATAAGTTGACGAAGTTGGGAAAACCAACAAGTATCCCACAGTCGTATACGGTCTCAGAACTTCCCCAGGCCCTTCATCAGCAATTCATCGTTTATATGAATCTAAAAATGAGATTTTTTATTTTTGTGTAGGTTCATGGCTGTGCAAAAAGTGATTTTCCTAAAAGGTGAACCAAAGTCGATGGTAGAATATGTCAATCCCATAATTCAATTGTTAAAACCAAAACAAGCACAATTATTGAATTTTCGTATCCTAGATCAAAAGTCGAATGTAAGAGTGACTGCGATTTTGCACTACTTTTTGGAGGAAATTCATAGGATAGTTCTTTTGGGAACCATCATTACATCGACTTTATGCCAATCGTATCAGACTTCCAGGACAAACAGAGCCCTCGGCCCCAATCACAAAAATCACCTTTAAAACATTTTAAAATCACAGCATCGGGGTTGCCAGAGACTATTTTCTGGCATTTTAATAGCTTTTCGTCAATAGCCAATACTTTTCAGAAACTGGGAAAGCTCAGTGGTATTCCCACAAGGATTTTTCGACCTTTTACGACTCCTGGGTCATTGATATTTTTTGGAAAGCCCTAGACGCTTATCTCACAAACACAGACTGTCGCAATGCAATCTTCCATTTTTGCACGCACAGCGCGCCAAGTTATAAAATTCGTGAAATAGGCCTCTAAAAACTGCCAGGTTGAATCTTCGACTTACATCTGGAAAAATTGGGAAATATTCAGTTGGACAGAAGACCAAAAGACGAATCTAATCCACATATTGGTGTTTATTTTCTTTTTATCTTATGACTGGATATCAGATTTCTAAATTTAGCTAGAAATCGGATTTTTGAAAAACTTTTCGTGAACAAATAAAACACGATAGAAAAAACTTTCCCAGATAACATGTTGAGGATCATGAGCAGAGTACACCGCGAGAGTTTTGAGTTTCTATCACATAAACATGATTGAATGAGCGAAATGATTTGGCTGAGAATGGTCCCAGCGGACCCCATACAGTGATTTTAAAAAATTTTAGAAAATTAATTTCTTACGCCAATGCTAACTCAGCATTGGTGTGAGAAATTTAATTAATTGGCTTGAAAGCTTGAAACTGACTTGAATGTATTGTCAAAACTAATATCTTATGGCTTTAGCAAGTTTCCAGCATACCTGTCAGTGACTGTCAATGGGTGGATGAAAGCTCGACGTCTGGCCGTGGTACAATTTCGTCTCCATTAGGAAAATTCATCATTTTATATGATTCTCAAGTACAAAGATGTAACGATTTTATGGCAACTATCCGTGAAACACTTCTGGAATCACATTGTGATTTAGAAGGTACATAAATCTCCTTTTCCAGTTTTGAGATATTACTGGTCAGTGTTACAAAAGATGAGGAGGAAAAGTTTAATTTAATTAAACCTTTAATTATTCCTGTAGACAATAACAAGTAGCGATCATCCTGCTAATTCACTTATCCCTTCGCCGATGTCAATCGTTTACTTCAACATGCATTCCCTACCTGACCGACTTTTCTTCTGACCGAAGTAGTTTTTTCTTAATGATCACTTACCATGAGCTGGAACTATTTTCGTCATTCACTTCACAGGCATGATGCTTACCCTAGCTCACGTAATTACGGAAATTCTACTCTGTCCTGAACCACACATTTCTTTCGTGATCGGTGGTCTGCCACTTCCTTTACTACTCGCTATCAATCTCAATTCGAAGACCAATAATAAGATTAGATCGGCAACACCAAAACTAATTTCTTGTCAGATTTTGAAAGAAAAAAGCCGTATTTACGATTGAGTAATCGGAGCTACTTTTTACACTACTGCTTGTCTCGCTGCATTATTACTATAGATGCCCCAACAAACTTTACTAATTTCCCTACACTTACCCTGATTTTCCCTTCGTTTCTCAGAAATTTTCCCTGGGCACACAATACGCAATGTGCTCACTACTCTCATGCAGATAAGTGTGTCCATCTGTCCACTAATAATTTGTGTGTCGCTAGTATCTAGGCTGCGGACGTACATACAGCCATAGAGACATTTTAACTCGAGAAGACTATTTCCTGTACACTCGAGGGATACCGTTTTTATCCTATCAATTTAAAATGAAGGCTTCGACGAACAGAATCGACCGCAGGGGTCGGTCACTCACAGTCATATTCCGATTTTCCGTAGTCAACTCGTCTGCATTCGCTCGGTCCCGTAACATGAGGAACTTATATCTGGCGATCTTCGATGACTATGGCTACATTCACACTGCAAAGTTTTCAGAGTTAACTCGAAGTTAACTTCGAGAGCGTTCACATCTTATTTTTACATTGTGAGATTATTAGCAATTTTTAATTCTACTTTCTCCCATTTTTAACCTATAAATAATATTTTAGGACCAAAGAGTTAAAGTTAAATGATGTCCGAAACAGCATTTAATTCAGCGTTAACTTTCTGACCAATCAGCTTCATCTTAGCTCATTTAACTCTTGTACTATGAACGTGGCCTATGTATCAATTTCGTCCATTCAGGTAGAAATGATGTTTTAGACCAGTAGGATTCACCGTAGACGTCGCTCATACTCATTTTCTGATCCCCCATAGCCGACTACCTACTCCATATCAATCAAGTTTTGCTCTACTAGTTTGTGTGTCGCTAGTATCTGGTCAGTGGTTATACAAATTTTCCTTTACAGTCAAGGGAATAATACTTTTGTCCAAGGACAGTCGATGATAATGACAGATGTTTCGACTTCGAAACATAATAATACAGCATACCAGGAAAGGAAATATTAGATAGCTACCTCGTTATAAAACAAAGAATGTAACTGGTATGATTCTGGAAAATGTTCAACCGATAGCCGGGCACTTTATTTTATTTTTAGCTACATCAACAGTCGAAACCGATCTTGAGCCTTCGAAAAATTCGTTTGTTTCGATGATATTGGCAATTCTTGATCTAGACACATCCCAACAGTCATCAACAATAGTAGATGAATTACTAGAACATGGTAGACAAAAACTTGCCGATCATCGAAACAAAATTCCGCAACAAGTGTTTGAAACTCAATTTAACTCTTTAGATAGTCAACTATTACAAATACTGAAAGAGTATACATTAAGTCAATGGCATTTATTGTATAATAACAAGAACTGGTTTCGTTTATTTATTGAATCACAACGTACTGAAGTACCTGAAATCTACGAACAGATCTTGCTACGTCAAGCTGAATACGGTAATAAATATTTACGAAACTGTACGTATCTTTCATTAACAATACAGTTTCTATACGAACTAAACGATGATAATATTGATGATTTTGATGTTATCTGGAAAGATTTGACACAAAATGGGCGACAAGTTCTTGTTAACCACACACAATACTTATCTGCTGGAATGATACGCGAAGAGAATTCCGATCATAAAACAACTGCATTATATCAAGCTCTTCATGAATATTTTAACAATCTATTTGTTCCTTGCTTAAAAGAAAATAACATCACTAATAGAGGAGGCTTTCACGACGAAGCAACGGACACAATGATTGAACATGGATGGAATGGGATTAGTTTACTAGAGAAATGGATTATTCAGCCTAGTTTTCAAGCACTATCGAAACACGTGGAGAAAATAATAAGTCACGAGAATGATAGTCTGAATAGGATACATCTAGCGCAAATTCAACGGATTCTTCCATCTATTCATCCTATCCAATTACAAGATTTATTACAAGCCGGTGAGTTTAAGTATGCCAATGTAACATTAAAACAATTAGTAAAGGACATTGTCGATGCATATAAAGAAGAAGAAAATTTTTCAAAGTTGATCGAAAATTGCTGCATACTGATCATGTATTTATTAAAACGTCAACAGAATTTAGACACATTTACCGGTGAATTGTGTCGTCACTTATTAAACTTCAAATCGAATCAGGAATCACCTTCTGTTAGTTTACGAATGTTTATTCATATATTGCTTCATAGTGGTGATAAATTTCTTCGGCGAATCATCATGTCATTATTATCTAAACGCAATCCTGTGCCGTTGTTGGAGCCTAATTTGAACGATCATAAACAAATAGAATTAATATCGGAAATCATCCATGTGTGGGACTATTCAAGACCAACAATACTATCCTTCGGTATTGGTTCTTCTCAAGGAAAATCATCATTATTGAATAAATTATTCATGTGTGATTTTGAACAATCGCAACAGCAAAGTATTTATTTTCATCAGTCAATCGATGTTGAATTCGGATATAACTCTTTACCAAGACGTTCATTTAATATTGCTGATGTGCACGGTCAAATATCAATCGAAAATCTATCTCGCCTAATTCCATTATTCGATGGTTTCATAATTCAAGTTAATCAAACATTTTTTCAACAAAATACATCTACTGTTTTGAAATATCTTGATATCTTGCCTGGTGAGAAATGGAAAATAATTGTCAGTCGTGACGCGCAGAATAAACATGTTTCATATCCCGTATCATCGGTTGTCAATTATGTTTTACCAAACATAATTGACTCGGGCAATAGACAAAATCAGTCGCATATCGAAAATTTGCGAACAGCAGTGTGGCAACAAATTAGTGACAAGTGTCTCGTCGACACACAACTTGTTGAAGCTAAGCTGCGTCAACTATGCCAAGTAAATGATGATATATCTGACGATATTAATTCCATGAAACATTATTTAATTCATTCTTTGAGCCCAGATGAGTATACCAAACAGTTCCCGTTGTATCAACAGTTTGTTAATATTTCTACTCTTCGACAATACATAGCGAAACTGCATTTTTATAATTCAGCTAGTGACGAATTATTCACAAAACAACAAGAACTTTTTCTACTAGAAGCAAAAATGAAACAAAACAGTGCTCGGTATGGAGAGATATTTGATACATTTATGAATATCCTTAAATCAGACAATTACATTATGCTGCTAGATCTACTAGGATTTCAGTTAAATGCAGTACGAGGTTCATATAAAGAAGAAAAAGAGTACGAACGTGCTAAGGTATTATCACTCGAAGTTCTGTGGCGAAATGCTATTGTTTGTCAAGAGTATCATCAAGTGGATACAGTAAAATCTCGAATACGTATGTGTTATTACAATTTTATTTATACTGGTTTTCCGTTTGAAATAATTGACGGTGATAATTTTCATTTACACAGTTCATTCCTGTCAGATGTGTTAACAGGCTTTAAAATGGATCGAACATTAGTGATTAGTATCATTGGACCACAAAACAGCGGTAAAAGTACTCTGTTGAATTACATGTTTGGTGCGTTGTTTGATGTAAGAGAAGGACGTTGTACGCGTGGAGTTTATGGATCATTCATTAAATTAAGTACACCGGATTATGATGCTGTTCTCTTAATTGATACTGAAGGTTTATTAGGCATACAAAAAGATGATAAAGAATATGACCGTCAACTTGTTCTGTTTTGTCTGGCTGTATCACACGTTGTTATTGTTAATATGATTGGCGAATTAACTGGAACATTAAAAGACATGTTAACGTTATGTGCTGATTCCCTGAAGCAATTGGGCGTTAATAAAGTTCCACAACCGATTCTCCATTTTGTTATTAATCAAAAGGCCGATCTCGATATGAAACATCATACAATAGCTATAGAAAAAATAATAGCTGATATTGAAAATTTAGATCTTGGAGAAATAGTTAATATTCGAAAAGATATGTTCCATACGTTGCCATCAGCATATAAAAAAGACTATCCATCGAATGATACAAAATTACCCGGTGTCATTAGAACCGAACTCGATTTTATTGAACGTTCGCAAGCACTCTGTGAACATGTGATGAGTTCTGCTTGTCAGTCGGCTAAACAGTGTGATGTGCGGTTCACTAACCCATGCCAGTGGTTAAGATTCGCAACGAACGTATTTGATACATTGAAAAAATTTCCGGACTTGACCTATTTTAATGACGTGAGTGAACGGCGGCAAGACAGAGATATCCGAGACTACATCCAAACCCAAATAAAACAAACATTTACGACCGAATGTAAGCAAAGTCTCATCGATGAATCGACGAATAAGTCCGAACAACAGATCGAAGATGAGTTTCAAACCATCTTTCAATCCTACATAGATAAATTGAATTCGAATTTAGACGCACAATTGAAAATCATAAAAGCTTCTGTGGCAGTTAAAGATCGGTCGAGAAATTTTCTGAAAACTCAAATTTGTGAAACAAAAATCGCATGGAAAACAGCCTGTGTTAGAGTGATTGATAGACAAAGAATGGAATTACTTATTCAACAAGGTTCTGCTGAACTGAAAGCTCTCATTGATGAAATAATTAAGGAGGAGCAAGTATTAACTCCAGAGGCTGCTAAATTACGATTTGATAATCTTGTTCGGCATAAAACAGAAGAAATTAAAGCGAAATATGATCACAACGGAATCTTTAAACAATCGATGAAGTTCGTCTACGGATATTACAGCATATTTGAAAAAGAGTCGTTGTCAACGTTTCAAGAAATCATCCGGTGCGTCGATGCAATAAAACTGGGCGCCAAAGGTGCTGATTTGAGAGAATGGTTATGTGAACTCTTTTGTGGTAGAGTTTTCGAACATGAAACTCTTCTAAAATCCAATAGTGAAGACCTGAATAAAAATTTTTCTCATGTATTCGAAGTAATGAAAAATGGGAATTATATGAACAAAACAGCACTGGCTAATGTTTTTGGAGTAGAAAAAATGATGCAGTCAAGTGAAGAAAGATGTTCGCTACCTGCACATAAGGACACATCAACAGCAACACCATATAAACATAAACAATTATTACGGCGTCACAAGATTAATCAAGTTGCTCCAGAACCGGTTGTACTGGATCGCAGTACCGCTTCTTCTGCATCGCTAGAACCGACTGAATCATGGTTGATTGTTGAACTGAATAAAAAAAATATAAATTTGTTAAAAAATGTACGAGACAAGTTATTGGAAAGTGGTAACTGTATTTCGGAAGATGATATTCTTCCGATCCCAAAAATATTTAAAGGTCTTCTTGAAGCTCTAACACAGTTGGTCAAATCAGACGATAAACCATCGACAGTAGATATAGATCTTATTCAAAAAATAGTAAGCTCTGTTAACACAATATTTCATGGCATTAATTGTGAATTGGAACCGCTCGGTTTATGTCTGTCCAAGCCAGTCAAATCGTTATTTCATGAACATGTTATCATATTTTTGGCGAAAATTTATTACGACGAACAGATGAATCATTTCGAGAGCCTGTTAATAACATTAGCTAAAGAAAGAAAAAATCTTGAAATGTTTTTTATACGAATGGTTGTTCCTAACACTTCGCTCGATTGTGAGTTTGCTGAAAACTTGAACAACGAACTTCTAAAAGCTTTGATAAAAATATTTGATAAAAAAGGCGAAAAAGCTATTAATGATGCCATTCAAATAAATAGCGGTTTATTTAATCGTGGAAAAATCCAAAACTTGTGTGATATTGAGTTAATAAATAAAGATAATGACTGGATTTTTAATTACATAACAGATCCTGACAAAATAATAAAAGATCGATTCACACAGCTATGGAGAACTATTGTATCAGGCGTAGATACACAGCTGCAACTGATTAGAAGCGAACTTCTGAATACTTTAAACGAGTATTTTGACCGCTTACAACAACTGTCTGTGGCTTTGCAAACATGTGGGCCGCCAGCGCATTTTATTAATGAAAGTTTCCAGTTTATTGGTGGTGGTGAGAGCAATGTTAATGACAACTTTAAGAACAAAGGACTTTGTATGACATTTTTGCTCTATACATATTTTAGTAATAGCATTAACGGAGCTACTGGGTTTACACATGAAACAAGCAATAAAAACTATATGTTGAAGGAAAATGTCTTTAAGATATTCCAGGAGCAAATGTTTAAACCTAGTGTACAACTCATTGATTTGACAGAACAAATGAAAAACATCTATCTTGTCTGTTCAATTGACAACCCATTGGTATTTCTCAACTCTGTCATTGCCAAAAGAGATGATACCAGAAACACATTTTCTCAACTTCAGTCACAATTTATTGATGATTTAAAAACAAGCTCATATATAACATTGCTGGATAAAATATGCGGGTGCTTTAATCGATGTCCATGTTGTGGTAGACCTTGTGATGCTGATCATACAAGTGTACGGGCTGAGGTCGGATCAGAATATAATAAACACGTTTGTAGAACCGGACATCAATTTCGCGGAATGGCTGGTTATAAATTTGAAATAACTGATGAAGCATCGCTGCTAATGTGTGAAGATATGAAAGACAGTCAACTTTTAATTATTAATGGAATCAAGAAAACATGGTCAGAATTTAAAACTGAGAATCACGAGTGGGATTTTGATACAATGATTTTAAACAATGATGCGCTAATGACATTACGCGGTAAATATTCAACTATTTGGGAGAAAGTAGGACAACAACTATGTGAGAAATACCATATACTGTACGTTACAAATAATAGACGGCCGTCAGCATTCCATTATATACTACTTTTGGATGGTTCCGCATCAATGAAGGGAAAACCATGGTCAGATCTAATCGATGGTATCAAATCATTCATAAATTTACGTAAAGAAATTAACCAACAAGATCGTATAACAATCATTGTATTCTCGGATGTAGCACAAACTACTTATTCATATGAAGAAATGAAAAATGTTGATATTTCACAAATTAAACATATCGGAGGAGGTACAAACTTTGGTTTAGCTTTTGAAACTGTTATCAGCACAATGGCCGCTATAACCATGAGAGGGAGAGGAAATTTCCAGAATCAAAAAACTATTATTATATTTATGAGTGATGGTGAAGGTAGTTATCCTAAATGGCCACTAGAAACATTAGCAACACAATACCGGGAGGACATAGAAAAATTTTGGACAGTCTTTCTCTATTCTGACAGTCAAAATCAATGGAAAGATCGTCCAATATTACCCTCGTCTCTCGGCAATTTAGCATTGCCCCCCACTCAACACGATATCTCTCCTTATCATAATGTATTGTCACGAATCAACAAAAAAATGAACGGTGAATTTAAAAACATCAAACATTCAACATACTTAGTTCAAGCTTATGCTGAAATTGCTCAAGCATAACAATGTGCATATGTTTGTCTTTACCTCTGCGATTTACACTGGTATTGTACCGTCGATATCCGAGAAATAAAATTGCATTAACTTTTCTTGTAATGAATAGACTTTCTTTGATTTTTGTTTTGTTTTATTTGTCTAGCCTTTGCCCACTACCGTTAAAAAGGACCAGTCTCTAGCTGCTTTCGTCGCCGAGATATAAGGATTACATTGTTGCAGGTGGAGATTTTTAGCGCCGTCTGTCATTGAAACAGGAATTTTTTCTAACGATTCAATGAGTTCTAAATGAGTTCAAAGTCTTTTAATTATGTGTAAATTGAAGTAGAAGACCCAGTTTCTCAAAATATGTAAATGGATTAACGGTTTACTGCAATTTTCTATGCAAATAAATCAAAATAATGTTGTTACAGACACTTTGATTCTCCCATGAGATTGAATCTCGCGTATCTCAGCTAAAACTAAAAGTAATCTCAATCGAAAATAGCCAAAAGGTAGTCCACAATTTGAGAATCATTTTGATAAAAAGCGGTAAAAAATCAATGCTCTTCTTACTATAAAAAATGCCAACTGCTTTTCCAAAAACCAGCTACGCAGCACACTAAATGCTCCGTGAGATTTTTGATTTTGCTTCTTTATGACTAAAAATGGAAATTTCAACACATCATACACCGTTCGATACCCTGAAAGTTGAAATATTTTCTGAGATGCACATGAAACTTTCGCATAGGCTTAACGAACTCGGGCTGTCTTGTTACCTGTGCGATTTGCGCTGGTGTTGTACGGTATGAGTGAAAATTTTGAAAAAAGTAAACTTGAATGACATCTTTTTCTGTTATTAGGTTATATAATGCTAACATTGGTGATTAACGGAAAAAAAGTTTCCCGACTGTCAGTCTCTTTGTTCTCTTAAAATTCAGCTTTTTTTAACATAGCTACTATCTATCTGTTCCAAAAAGAAAGGTCGGTCATTATTGTTTGAGGACTCAAAAGGAATAAAAGATAAAGACTTGCGATTTCCACCATTCGATGGCCAAGACTTGAGACTACCTTTCCATAAACAAACACAAATTTTGGAAAAACTTTCGAAGCCGGTTTTTCAGAGGATCTTTGGAAAACCAGTTCGATTCTCTCAAATCTGACACACAAACCTATGGATTTTTTTCACAGATATATAGTCCGAAGTGTCCTCTACAAAACTTGGCCTATGCGACATCTTGGAGATCCGTGGCTCGGGAGCTATGGACGTTTTTCCTGAAACCCTAGTACTCCCGTGCCATTAGATTCGGGACTGTCAGAAATGGATGAAAACATAGGTTATCGATTATGCTAAATATATTAGACATGTGTACAAATTACCCATGAGTATTTTTTCGGTTCCAAAACCGCAGCTAAACGCGTTTTCTTGCCAAAAAGCCTTCTAAATCGCGGTCCTCTTATTCAAAACTGCGTTTTGTTAGGACACTGCGGTTAACCAACGCACGCAGTTGCTCGCGATTTCATTAGTAAGAATCGCGTTTTTGCATTGAGCTGCGATCGACTGCGTGGATTTATTAACCGCGGTTGTACGCAAACCACGAACAGAATGCGGTTTACCCCGTTATAATCGCGGTTTTTTCGAACTCGCGATTAGTCGTAGTTCAAGAAAACACACGATTTACTGCGATCGTGAGAAGAAATACGGTCGCTCTATTCAAAACCTCGCTTTGTGGTTCAACTGCGGTTCATCGCAGTTTTATGCACAACGCGGTCATTTGCGATTGGAATACACATGCGCGTTTTCTACCACTAAAAGTGCGGTTTTCAAATAATCTCGGTTATTGAAAAGTATATCGTTGTCCGCAGTTTACGTACCAAATGCAATTTTTCAATTCAGAACCTCGGTTCGTGCTTCAATCCCGGTTGTTTTCGCCTTTTGTGATTAGAATTTCTGGCGCATACCTGGTACAAACTTGTAGGAAATGTGTATACAGAAATTCCTCACCGATTTTCCCACGATATAGAAATTGTTGAATTTCTACTATCTAGAAAATCGTCTTGAATTTCCATAAATATCAATTTCTATAAACTGGAAATTCGACAAGCAATTTCTATAAAGTGGAAATTCCTCCTCGAATTTCTGACTTTATGCAAAATTAATCAAATTTCTATAAATAATTTCCACGACTGATGGCGCTTGAACGGACCAATCACAAACGAGAGATGCGCAACAAGGAGGCAATCCCATAGTCACTGCGACAGTCATTGAAAGTAATCTCTAGCGCGAAAGAGCGAAGAGATCGTTCTGTGTTATGAGGTTGTACACTTGAAAAGTGATTTCGGTCGACGTTTTAAGCACAGAATCTCTTGTTACTGTAGACTGACTGCTGTCAAGCTGTTTTCTCGGAGGAAAGTATACTCCGAGCGTTACGCTTCGTGTCTCTTTATCACCAACAAATATAGAAATAATGACAGCAATACTTAAAAACATTCTGTATCGAATGTGTATCAGCACAACGAAGATATGTGTCAGATGTAGTTTTATGAGAAAAATCGAATGGCTTTTCCAGATTTTGTTTTCCGTCAGTTTTTATTGTGAAAATCCCACAAAAACCTCAGAGTCCTCTCAATTACCACACAACGTTTCGCCATTTGAGAGTAGCGGAATTGCTGAAGCACTGTTGGTCCAAATACTTGTACGATTGTTGACCAGAAGTATATATGATTCATCTTAGAAAATAAAAGAAAGACAGGTTTATTTGATTAATGACTAAAATATTAAGTGAAAAAGGCTAAATATCGAATCCAAATAGATTACCAAACACAGTAAAAATGCGCTTTATGTATTTTTAAATAATTTATCTAATATCTCATAAGTTTTCAAACTGAAAAGGAGATTTTTTAGTAATGTAAAAAGTTTTTGCGTGACTCATTGTGAAAATAAGAAGTTTCTGTTTTCTAAAAACGCACTTCATGGTACTAATCAAACTTTCAAAATCCATATGTATCTATGAAATACTTCAGTCTAGTGCTTACCTTCAATAAAAATAGTCGTGGATAATAATAAGAATGGAATGAGACCAAGAACAATATTATTAATATAACAGTTGATTAATAACTTACAAGTAAACGCTAAGTTTATATAGCTTCCAGTTTATAGAAAATCAAGTGGAAAATCGCTGAAAAATTTCTAGTTTGCAGAAATTCCTCCGATTTTTTATAAAATTATGATTTTTTATAAAATTATTCCGATTTTCCCACTATATAGAAATCGTTGGATTTCTACTTTCTAGAAAATCGTCTTGAATTTCCATAAATATCAATTTCTATAAACTGGAAAGTCGATAAGCAATTTCTATACAGTGGAAATTCTTCCTCGAATTTCTGCTTTATAGAATAAATAATAATAAAAGGAATTTCCACATTCTGGTTTGTAGCTTTACTGCAATAATTTCTTGAAACTGAGGGAGACCTGAGGTGTTGCTCAGAATGCTTAGCTATTTTTTTATCTTTTGTAAACAGTAGAAACTATCTTTATGTTTTACTGTATTTCGTACAAAGTAGTACCAATTAAACTAATGTGAAGTTTGACGCGGTTTTTGATGGAATTTTTTGTTTAGTATGAATTTTTCAAACGCCGAAACAACAGAGTAACTATCTAAAATAGTTTTTTTCTCATGACTTGTTTGTTTCGGTTCCCAGCATACGCCCATAGTTAACTAATGTGCTCTTAGCAATACAAAAGACGTCAACCTATTTGACTTGTCAGTAATTTCTATCACGTGTCCGTAACAATTATCACGGTATGAGAATGTCATAATTGTTATCTTCTGTGTTTTGAGATTAATTGTCATTACATACATAATTCAAAGCACGGATCGGTTTACAGTTTCATAAAAATGGGAAATATCAACAGTAGAGTGATCGATGATGATGATACGATAGTATCAGAGAGCAAACGGAGTAGAATGATGTAAATCACATGAGTTTTCAAACATTTTCGATTTTTCGCCTAAAGAATTTCACGTTTGGTTTCACGACTTCGCAGTTCAGGATAGGTTATAGGTTACAAAAATTTTTACACGACAGGTTACTCTACCCGGACCCTGTTTTCAACCTGTAAAACAAATATTAAGCGCCATCTGTAAAGGGGAAGAAACAAGAACTCGAAAAATAGTTTTTATTAGTCAAAAAAATATGTAGTACATCAGGAATAGTATGGGAAACATGAAGACAGTCGTTGAATACAGTGTTGCTGACGATATATTACTGATCAGAAATTTCAGGGATGTGTGATCTTTTGTTGTTGTTTTTTGCTACATAAATAAAGTAAATGAAAAGAACTTACTTTATTAGGCAAAACTTTCGAACTTAGGTACTCATTTTTTGCCGTCATTTTTTCGCACGACAGGACAGTAACCGCGGTTAATAAATCCACGCAGTTGATCGCAGCTCAATGCCAAAAACCCGATTCTTACTAATGAAATCGCGATTATAAATTCAAATCGCGAGCAACTGCGTGCGTTGGTTAACCGCAGTGTCCTAACAAAACGCAGTTTCGAATAAGAGGACCGCGATTTAGAAGGCTTTTTGGCAAGAAAACGCGTTTAGCTGCGGTTTTGGAACCGAAAAAATACTCATGGAAACAGGTTACGCAAAAAATATTGCAGGTTAGGACAGGTTACAGATTACGAGGTATACGGTTATGAAAGGTTATAGGTTGTTAAAGTTTTTACAGGACAGGTTATAGGTTATGAAAAAGTTGTAACCTGCAGGACTCTAATAGACTCCAAATATCAAACTTATTTTGATACCAAATCTTGTTTAGATGACGAAAGCCACGAAATATTATCGAAAAGTGCTTAAAACTATGTAAATCCCAGTTTTTTAAAAACATACTATTTTTTCTTTTGTTATTGTCATCATTCGATAGAGTATAAAACAATTATCTACATGCAATTGTATTGTTTCCAGATCTTCTTGTCTTACAGTGTGTAAAGTACGAGCAGATATATAAACCTGTTTTTTCA